CTATTTTCGTTTCCTTACAATTTTTCTGCTGGAAAACCTAGGGCGTTTGACCTGAATACTATCACTAGCCAACTGTACACTCCGGGTGCAGCTCGGCTGGTTCTGCTTCCTGTATATTCCTGAAACTTGGAAACTGGATCCAGAGGCTTGGCTAGACTCAGATTTGATCCCTTTGACAGAACTGTAGATGGTGGTCTACTAACTAGAGACTACTAACTTTTGATTGTCTCCTTTGTGTGTGTTGTAAGTTAGTGTTGATGAATTCCCAGATTCATTCATTCGCTAGGGATTGAATAGTCTTATTGTAGGTTGTCTGATTTGTTGTTGACACTTAGCTGGAGTACTTTAGGAAAGAGACACTGGCCCTTCATCTATGTCTTAGTTTCCTAGACACTGTTCACACAGCAAAGGCAAAATAAAGGAGTGATCCATTTTACTTGTTCACCAGTTTTTATTTATTGTTCATTATAATAATTTTCAAAAAAAAGCAGTATTCTTAATTTTATTTATGTATGTCTTCCATGAATGAGAGAGATAAAGGGAGAGAGAGACAGAGACAGGACTTCCAACAGGTTCTCAGCACCACAATCCACCCCTCTGCTGTAGTCAGCCTCAGCTTATGGACATGGGCATGCCTGGTACATTCAGGTTGTCTCCAAACAGGACCCCAGAACCTACACAGGTGGGTCAGTCTTGCAGAACATTGGGTGTTACCACAGCATTACCATTCAGCTCCCTAGGCAATTATTTTTAACATCACTATAAACTCACAGATATAAACCTATGTATTAGGTTTCATTCATTGCAATTATTATCCTTACTGGAGCTTGATTTACCCCATTTTAGCCCATACTAACCTCTTCAAGTAAAATCTTAAGTCTTTTTATCATAAGTTTTTTTTTTCATAATTTTGGCTGTATTTTATACAAAGTAGTGTAGACATCTTTTATGCCAGCCACAGACCAAGGAATCAAACATTTATTCAACAACCCCTGGCTTCTGTTGGAGACGAATGATACTGCAAGGCCGTAACATAGATAACACAGAGACTCATTACTCCTGGATTACTCAGCTTTTTCTTCTTCCAAAAGATCCAGGAAATGTATATTTATAATTTTTTTAAGATAAAATACTTTTGTGCCTTCATACTGATATTTTAAATTCAAATAAAGTCTACAGAGTTTTGTTGCTTAATCTCTTCTCTGTTCCATCTGTGTATCTTTTCTTCCACATTAAAAATCTTAGTCCTCAAAGACCCAGGAGATGATAGAATTAGAATATCTCATAATAATTAATTTGCATATTATAACATTACAGAACAGCAGTTTAAAAATAACAATATAGCATTACGAACATAAATTTGATTACAAAAACTTATTTTTTAAGTTTTTTTTTTTTGTTATAGGGCCTGTGCTCATGAGAGAGACAGTGAGTGGAAAAGTAAGAAAGCTCTCCCCCAAGAGGGATGGCCATACCACAATCCCTTCTCCTTCATTCTCTCCTGGGATTTTTGGAAAGCATGCATGTGCCCACAGCACGAGTTTCAAGCCACCCAATCTGGGTCTCGAACTGTAGTCGACCATGTGGAAGTTAAGCACCTTAACTACCACGTCACCTTCTGGTCCACTAAAAGTCATTTTGTACATATACTTTTCTTCACATTTTTCATAATTATACTTCATCTCCATTGTCATGTGTATTTAGTTATAGAATTGACTGCATATTTCATTTTACTACTCATCCTCATATTAATGTCTTTCTAGCCATTCTGATTATGTAAATATCATTATCCAGTTAAGATACAACATTTTTACATGGCGATAATATTGATTTATTTATAAAATCATTTAATTTAAAATTTTGTTTAAGTTTGCTACAGGGCACGTGTGCTTGCCAGAGAGAGAGAAAGACGTGGAGGGGAGGTGGGGGGGATAGAAATAATTCCCCAGGAGAGATAGCCATGCCATAACCCCTTAATCCCTTCTCCATTCTCCTCTCAGGATTTTGGGCATGCACGCACATGTACCTGGTGTGAATCCCAGGCTGTTGGGTTTAGGACTCAAACCATTCAGTCCGCCATGTGGGATTCAGCTGCCCAAACTTTATGTCACCTGCTGGCCTCATTTGAAAGTTATATTTCATCTTTTAAACATGGAAGTCCTTGCTTCCCCTATTGTTTTCTGAAGTATGTGAAGAGTTAGTTCACTTTCTGGGAGATAAAAGAACTGCTGCTGAAAATCTGTCTGGGGGCAGGATGGTGGGCCAGTGGTTATAGAGTGCTCTGTGGGGTTGACCCATGTAGAAAAGTTCAGAGTGAGGGTCCACAGACCTCCCTGATCATGGTATGGATGCACATGCTCATGGCCTAGGGCTGCCTTCAGCAGAGTGTGGATCCTGGCATGGGACCCTGCTACGGGTGCCTTTCAGCCTCTGATTTCCTCTCTCTCTCTCTCTAACTCATTCATGGTAGAAAATAAATAATATTTTAAAACCCTGATGTTAACAATAAAGTCTGTACTTTTATTGAAATATGGTAATAATATTGGTTGTTTTTTTCTCGCTCTCTTTCTCTCTCCAATGAATGTACATACCTTATAGCAAATGGAAAGAAAAAAAGAAGCAAAGAAGAAAGAAAAAGGAAGTCTTCGTAATAATTTTTATTGTGGAACTATAGTAGACAAGACAAAGTGAATTTCAGCAGCACTAATTATTTTAGAATGGGTTTATAGTTTTTCTTTTTTCTTTCTTTATATATTTATTATTATTTATATATTTATTATTATTATTCATACATTAAATTGCTATAGGTCATTTACATTGTGAAGAGACTTTACCCAGCATGATATACACCTCAGTCCAGCCCATGAACATCTTCGTTAATAGATAATAAACTTGGGACCAGCAGTTAGAGTAATGGCTCTGTCACTGGACTCCCATGTAGTCAACTGCGGTTTGAGTCCCAGACATGGTGGCTTAAACTCACGCCAGGCGTGTGTGCCTGCATGCCCAAGATCCCGAGAGGAGAATGAAGAAGGGATTGTGGAGTGGTCATCCCCCCTGGGGGGTGATTTCTCGCTTTCTGTCTCTCTGTCTCTGTCTGTCTGGCAAGTGCACAAACCCTATAGCAAAAACCTCTCCCCCCCAAAAAAAAAACAAAAAAAGATAACAAACCTTATCTGTGTCCCACAAGTGTCTTACCTCTCCATTTCTCCCCAAATTTCCTATGCTCTTCCCCTCTCACACTCTAGTGTCCATTACAATTTTTAATATTTTTTATGTTCCCAGTCTTTCCATCCCTACCATAGAGTGCAGACAGTCGGTATCTGTTAAGTGGAGACATGCAATGTCTCTCTTTCGTAGCCTGACTTGCTTCACTCAGCAACAAATCTTTCATATTTGTTCACTTTCTGTCAAATTCCAGGGCCTTGTTTTTTTATGGCTGAATAGTATTCCATGGAGTATATGTGCCACAATTTTTCAATCCACTCATCTGTTAGTGGACATTTGGGTTGGTTCCATGTCTTAGCATTTGTGAATAAGGCTGCAGTGAATATAGATGTGCCAGTGTTTTACCGATTGAGTGCTCTCCTGTCCTTTGGGTAGATACCCAAAAGTGGAATTGCTGGATCATATGGTAGCTCTATTTGAAGATCTTTGAGGAACCTCCATATCATTCTCCACAGTGGCCGGACCAATTTACATTCCCACTCACAGTGTAGGAGTATTTCCCTTTCACCACATCCCCTTCAGCACTTATCATTATCTGTTTTTTTTCTTTACCATTCTGCCTGGGGTTGGGTGGTATCTCATTGGGGTTTTGATCTGCACCTCCCTTACAATAAGGGATGTTTAGCATTTTCTCTTATGCTTTTTGGCTGTTCATGTATCTTCCTTAGAGAGTTGTTTATTCAGCTCATTTTCTCATCTTTTAGTTGAATTAATCATTTTCTTCTGGGTAAGCTGCTTGAGTTCTCTGTGTATTCTGGTTATCAGTCCCTTATGTGAGGCACAATTAACAAAAATTCTCTCCGTTCCAAAGGTTGTCGATTCACGCTAATTACTATGTCCTTGACTGTGCAGAAACTCCTTAATCTGATGTAACCCTACCTGTCTATTTGGGTGATTATTGCCTGTGCTTTAGGGGTCTTGCTTAAGACACTGGGGTAGTCTTTGCCTACCCCAGTGTCTCCCAGAGGTTCCCCATTTTTTCCACCAGTAGTCTTATAGTTTGCAGTCTTAGGTTTAGATCTTTGATCGACTTTGAGTTGATTCTTGTTAATAGTGACATATAGGGGTTCAGATTAATCTTTCTACAGGTGGATACCCAGTTTTTCCAACACTATTTGCTAAAGAGGTTTCCCTTTTCCCACTGGATTGACTGGTACCCTTTGTCCAAGATGAGTTGGCTGTATGTTTTGTAGTTTTTCAATGATGAGAGCTGTTGAATGACCTGAAAATGGTATTGAGTTTTGATTTTTAGAGATGCTCAAATATAGTATATGTCAGACTTATCTAAAGAGCTTTTGATTTCAGAATTATGTTTTCTTTTATTTTTCTCTCTGTATGTACTCACTCTATGCAACTCTCAACATTTTTTTTTTCATTTCTAATCCTTTTTTTGTTGGTGGAACAGAAGTACAAATCTTCAATCCCTACAATTTTTTGCATTTTTTCCTTTCCTGAATTTAATAGCATTTCATTATTTTTTGACAGCAGGTGAGTAAAATATTGGAAAAATCATTCAGAGCAATTCTGCAGAAATACTCTAGTGAATTTCAAACCCACAGCAAAACCAGCAAGGATAAGTTAAAATTTATACTGGGCCAAATGCTTTTAATTACCTTCCAGATGCAATTATGCATCTACACAGATGGCAGGTAAAGCAGCTTGGTTGTATAAAAGAAAGTGCATGAGTAATTGCTATAGTTTGAACAACAAGAGTCGGTCGTTTTACATATAAAATAATAGGACAGAAATTGTAGCAAATTCTGTATCTAGTTTTAAAAGGAGGGGATCTGATTGACATTGTAGTCTCAATGCCACAACATTATGGTAAATAATGAAGAAATGGTGGAAAGCACACTGTATATAGCTGTGTATAATAGCAGAATGAGGCCACCTTGTCTCAGTGAAGGTCTTGGGAACACCTGAAACGTTCAGATAAACAAGGTTTAGATGATGAAGAAGCAAGCCCAGAAACATTTCTGAACACCTATGCTGTCACATGCAAGCAAGCCTTCAGAGATGCCTGCTACAATTCTGACAGAGAGCAGACATCAAAACCAGTATTTAAGGCTACAGAAACTTTTGGCACCTGTTTCCTCAAGACATAAAATGTCATGCATCATGCATCGCACTGACCTAATCAATATATTATTTTTATTCTACTGTTGTAGGCAAATCAATGAGAAATAAGAAAACAGTCAGACAAAATGATTGGAGTTTATTGCTGGCACCTTATAGGAGGACTCTTGTCTCTGAAAGACTCCACAGCCCAGGACCAGCAGTTAGCATAATGTCTACATCGCTGGACTCCCATGTGGTCGACCACAGTTCGCGTGTCAGACCCGGTGGCTTAAACTCACGCCGGGTACGTGTGCATGAGTGCCCAAGATCCCAAGAAGAGAACAGAGGAGAAAGGATTGTGGCATGGCCATCCCCCCTGGGGGATGATTTTTCACCTTCTGTCTCTCTGTCTCTCTCTGTCTGTCTGGTGAGTGCATGCGCCCTATTGCAAAAAAAATAAAATAAAATAAAATAAAAAACCTCTCTAAAAAAAAGAAAAATAGAAAAAAAAAAAGGACTCTGCAGCCTCAAGTGAAAGGAGAGGGGTGCTTATAAAGGCAAGAATCACAATCATTTCTGAATTACAATGGAAAATGAGGAGGGGTGAAGAGGAAAGGGAGTTGGGTTTCTATAGGAAAGCAGTTACAGAAGCTGAATCAAGCAGGTCAATCATATCTAAGGGCACTCTCCGGACCTTTTTTTAAGGGTCCCCATGGCTCCAGGCAGGGATCTGGTAACTGGTACTTACAGTGTTAAGGACATCTAAACAAAAAGCTTTCAGGCTAGTGAACACAGTAAGGCTATTAATCACTCAGCAAAAGGAGGAAGTGAGTATAAGGTCCAGTTCAAAGATGGAGGTGCTTCTGCCTCGCTTCTACTCTCTTACATTTATCTTCGATTACCACTAAACTTTTAAACTTTTTTTTTTTATAAATGATTTGGTTTATTATTATGAAAAATAGAAAAATAACTGAGTCAATGTATAACACATTTTAAATGTTGATTCTATGTCCTAATTTTAAAAAGAGACTGAAAAAATCAATTAAAGACTTCTTTTCAAAATAAGACCTTTTCTTAATAATAATTTTAAAAGGCTGAGAATGTACATCCTATGTCTAATGAACAGAAATATTCTCCTAGTGATTTAAACTGTTTTGAAGATTCATTCGTATATCAGAATTGAAATTATATGGAAAACAGAGACTGTTCTGAACAAGGTCTATAGGAGCATGGATTAAATATGACGAATCTTTGTAATTTTATTTATTTAATGTGATTTGGTTTAGACATCTGTTTACTTAACAAAAAAAAGCTAGAGAAAGTAGTCAAATATTTTTACTTATATCATTAGAGCTATATATTCAAACAATGTTAAACCTAGATGCATTCTTTCTGTTACACTTTTGAAAATCTTACCCACCATGTTGGAAAACGTATTTTTAATCATTCAAAGTCCAAATGAAGACTACAAATTATGTCAAATGACTTATACAGAGTAATGATGACTTATAGTTTTGACAAGTTCCTGAATTAGATCAGGTAAGTACATTTATTGCTATACTTACTTGTAACTCCTGGGTGAATCATTCTAAATTAATATCTTGCCAAGGTGGAACTTAAGGCTGTGATAAAAAAAAAATAAAAGCCATTCTTGACTTATTTCAATGGGTAATTAATGACCATAACTTTTTTATAATATATAGTATATGTTACAAAAGGAATAACTTCCTAATATATTATTGTTAAAGACTACAGTGACTTTCTTTTTTATCTTTTTAAAAATTATTTATTTTTATTAATTTCTCATTTTACATAAAGTTCCCAGCATGATGTGTACAATATATGCATTTTTTTCAACAGAGAACTTTACAGTTTCCTGTCTGCCAGATGTTTCCTCCCCTTGCACCTCACACCCACCCTCCACCACCCATTCCCTACCACCCACTCTCCCCCCTTACAGTCTCTAGCATCCAAGCATCCACACCTATTCTCTCCACCATCACATCTTCAGATCTTAACCTCTGCCATAGAGTGCAGACAATCAGTACAAACGGAGTGGAGGCATACAGTGTGTATCTTTCAATATATTTTTCACTCAACACTAAGTATTCTGTATTCAACCTTCTTTCCTTAGTTTCTTTCTTCTGATATTTTTTCTTATTCTTTTTTATCTCCGCAGCATATGAAATGAATCTTCCCAGCATGAATACACTGCATATCAGTCCCATCAAAGACGTTACCATACACATTATTTTTAAAAGAAATATTTATTTAATTTTTTATTTATCCATTCACAATATTTTAATTTGAGCAGAGAGAGAGAGAGAGAGAGAGAGAGAGAGAGGGAGAGAAGGAAAGCAAGAAATCAAGCCACCAGGTCCGGGACTCGAACTGTGGTTGGCCACATGGGAGTGTCCAGCACCTTAACCACCATGCCATCTGATGGTCCCACCATACACATTATTATCAACAGATAATTTTCCATTTTCCATTATTCCACTCTTTGATTCTATGAATTTGATGATTATGGATATATCATATAAGTAGATACCTCATATAAATAGCAGAATAAAGTAATTTATTGATTAGATCAATGTGAAGTATTACTCATGATATTTTTTGTTCTTCTGTGTCTTCAGGAAATAGATCCCAGTTTTGTAGCTTTAACTCCTGGTTTTGATCTTAGCCATTCTGACTGGAATTAGGTGATACTGGAACAAAGCTTAACAATGCACATCACAAAGTGGTGTTTCTTGTTGAAAATGATGAATATGGTGGTATCTTTAATTTGATTGTCCCACATTGCATGCATACATTGAAAATCCATGTTACATCTCAGAAAGATTTGTAACAGCTAAATGTAAATAAGAAATTATGAGGCCGGCAGATGGGGTGTGATTAAGACGTAAGGATCCCACCAGACAAACTCCATGGTTCAAGTCCTGGACCTGGCAGCCCAAAAGATACGCTGGGTGCCCAAAATCCTAAAAGAACAATAGAAGAGGAGGCATTGCGGTGTGGTCATTCCCCATGGGGGAAAGATGCTTTCTTTACCCCCCCCCATTTCTATCTCTGAAAATTGCACAGATCATATGGAAAAAATAAATTATAAAATAAAATAGCATAACAGGAATAATGCAGTAGTTGTTTTCTGGTTCTGATTTTGGTTTTGTGGCAGTCTCAATTCCCTTAGCACAATGACCTTGGGTTCATCCCTATCATTATAGAGTTTCCTTATTTTGACAAGGTAAGCAGTATTGCAACATGTACATTAATATTGATGTTAATATTTGCACATTTTCTTTATCCACTCATCTGTTAACAAACACTTGGGTTGCTTCTCAATTGGCAGTGTTGTGAGTAGTGATGCAATGAACATAGGAACACTAATCTCTCTCTGATGCTCAGAATTACTAATCAACAGAGAAGTGCAAATCCCAATCACAATGAGATTTTACCTCACCCTTGTCAGGATGAGTATTATCAAAAGACAGATGAATATTGGCAAAGATTTAAATAAACTGGAATGTTTGCACATTGTTGGTGGGAATCCAAAATGATGTCGTCTCTTTGCGAAACAGGTGGAAGTTCCTCAAAAAATTGAAATAGAACTACCATATGATCCAGTAAGCCCACTTCTCTGTATATATCTAAAGAATAGAAATTGGGGCTTCAAAGAGATCATAACACTTGTATAATAACTTTTACATTTGACTCAATATAGTTTTCTTGAACAACCTCAAACTCCCCCTAACATTTTTTTCAACTTGGATTCTTTTAAAGTTATTCCAGAAATTGTCAAACTTTTTCTGCATAGGTCAAAAGGTCACTATTTTAGCTTTGCAGGCTGTAAGGCTTCAGGTGCAACCACAATCAATCATTGTTGCTCACCAATTTTGCATTTATGGATCCATTTACTCATTGAAATTTATTTTTAAATCAATATTTGCCCATTTTGCAGTCACTCACAGATATAAGCATAGCAGCAAAAGCCTTGAGTTGTTCAACATGCATACAAGGTTCTTCAAAAGTTTTTGGAAAATGCATATTATGACAATAGTATGCATGAATTTCAAAATGTTTAGCACCAAAAAAAAAAAAAAAAATCTCTCTTGTAGTTCTATTTTCCATGAACCACCTTCGTATGCCCAACTGAGGTCGAACAAATCAATATTCTGCATTTTCATTTGAACTCTCATATTGTTAACAGTTTTCTTTTCACTGCCTATTTAGTGCCATATTTTTGGCATTGATGTGCTTTGCATTAGTGATTCTGCTATTTAAAATGCCTCCAATCTTAGCAGGAAATGCTGTCTGGTGTTCCTAAGCAAAGACAAGCCATGGTGCACCTCACAGAGAAAGCACATGTGTCAGATGAGCTTCTTTATGCCATGAGAATGAGTGATAGTCCCACTGTCTATGAGTTCAATGCAAATGAGTCAACAACATATATTAAATAAGTTGACTTCACACAGAAACAAACTTAAAGCAACATTCTGTATCAATCAGTTGATGAGAATGTATAACCAGAGGCTCCCAAAAACCCAATCTTATATATCTTCTAGGATAAATAATTCAGTGTTTATAAATTCATTCTCTGTGGGGATTTTACAGAATATAACTACGGTAAATAATGAAAGTCGACCATGCTCAACTCTACTGCTATAATGAGAAAACAGTCACAGATACTATGTAAGTAAGTAGGTGTGACTGGGCTCCAATACTGCTTTATAAAAGCAGGCAACCTGCTGCATTTGGCCATGGACCTCTGAATTAAAAAACAATTCCTGAATGACAACATTGTAAGGCATTTTACTAGGCACTGTGAGTTATAGAAGAATGAACCTTTTTTTTTTTTCATTTAAATGAATAGAAATGACAAATGACCCACATATCTTTAGGACAAGGTATTAAGTAAAAATTCAATTAGAGTGGTACATATAAATTATTAGAAGACTACAAGGGAGGTGGTATAGTATTGGCCTGAAGAACACCAAAAAAAGAATTTATTTGAATGCTTAGGTTTGATGTAGGGATACACATTGGACATGTGGAGATAGGGAAGTCAAGTGAGGTCAGGAAAGGGAACTGACCAGAGTCAGGAATTACTGTGTTAGGCGAATGGCTCATGTGTTAGTCTGGGTACCCCCAGAAGCAAGTGCAAAAATAAAATGAAGTGTGTAAGGATTTTATTAGAGAAAGCAAACATGAGGAAAATGTGATGGATTCTGACGAAGGAAGGGAGGACACATCTGACCCTGACTGATGAAGTGAGGAGAGGAATATTATCATGCAGTTTATGGACAGTGTCAGTCTCAGCAGGGTCCCATCTCTTCCAGGCCAAGCTCCTTGCTCCAGGCCACGTGATAGGCTGGGAGTGGTCTAATGGAGGTTGACCTCGGCTCAAAAAGTGAGGGCCTTCAGAGTGCAGCAGTTGGACTCGTGCTCAGTTACACTTCCAAACATGAGAATTTTCATGAGAACGTTCTAGAGGAATTGTCTTACAACCAGCAAGGTTGTTAGGTGAACTATTTTTTTTTTTCATTTTTCCTTTTAGATAGAGCCTATATGCTCATTACAGAGAAACAGAGAGAGAGAGAGAGAGAGAGAGAGAGAAAGGGAAAATGAAAAATCACGCCTCCCCCAAGAGAGGATGGCCATGCCACAGTTCCTTCTCCTCCAGTCTCCTCTTGGGCTTTTAGGCGTGCATGCACACAAACCTGGTGTGGTTTTCAGTCCACTGGGTCTGGACCTGGAGCCACATTCAGCCATGTGGGACCACCATGCCACCCGCTGGCCCATGAACTATTCATTTTTAATCAAGCTTGTGCTAGGTTGTCAGGAAAGTCAAGATGCATTTTTTAACTTCAAAAACAGAAAAATATATCCTGACTTTCCTGACCACTCAATATATGTCTTAAAATATTCAATTGTAGGCATTTAAGACCCATATCTGTTCATTATTACCTATAGGCAGAATAGTGGTTTGTTTGTTTGTTTGTTTGTTTGTTTTGTTTTGCAGTTTTTGCTATTGGACGCGTTCACTCGCGAGAAACCACCCCCTAGGGGGATGGTCACGCTGTAATCCCTTCTCTTCCATTCTCCTCTCTGGATCTTGGGCACGCACGCACGCGTGCCCAGCGTGAATTTAAGTCACCAGGTCCGGGACTCGAACCACGCTCTGCTGCATGGGAGTTCAGCATCATAGACATTACGCTAACTGCTGGCCCCTAGGCAGTATAGTTTTTGAAATTCTAGGAAACAGAGTTTAATCCTAGATTCTCTCTCTGCATAGTAGCCTTATGGAAGACACTTGATGTCTCTAAATTGTACTTTCTAAATTTGCAAAATGCTGATAACTATCATGGTTTCATATATTTGTTATGTGACATAAGCATGATAATGTATGTAAATCGCCCTGCACTAAACCAAGCACATAGGGTGGGAAAGAAAAATGGCAATATCCTCCTGACTGTAAATTTAACAAAAAATGATTTTAAAAAGTTCTCAGTCTCAGTTAAAGATGTGTACTGTATTTAACTTAGATAATCAATGCTGATTTATTTTCACTAATGTTTGTAATCAATTAGCTATTACATCCTTATCTTTCTATTTTACTGAT